CATCCATCCATCCATCCATCCATCCATCCATCCATCCATCCATCCATTATCTTTACCCGCTTATTCCATTTTGGGTCACGGGGGTCGCTGGTGTCCATGCCCAGCAATCACTGTGCGAGGGGCGGGGGACACCCTGGACAGGTCGCAAGTCCATCACAGGGCCACATAGAGACAAACGAGACAAACAACCATTCACTCTCTCACTCACACCTAGGGACAATTTAGAGTTACCTATCAGCCTAACCCACACATGCACAGAGAGAACATGCAAACTCCACCCAGAAAGGCCCCCAGTCGGGATTCGATCCAGCGACCTTCTCGATGAGAGGCAGCAGCTCTATCAACTGCGTCACCGTACCACCCCCTCAAAATTCTACATACCCCTTTCTTTCTTAAAAATAAATAAATAAATAAGTAAACATTTGACATGCTAGCTGTGGTTCACTGTGAATAAGAGATGTGCAAATGATTGTGTCCTTTTTTCAATTTACATTTTACAAAACTTGGTCAGAATTGGCGCTGTTTTACGATGAGCGGCGAATTATTGAGAGACTTACAAAAACTCGTGTCACAATAGCGTCAGGTGTGAGCTCGGGCTACGGCAGGCTGTTTCTCTGAGTCAAGCTCAGAAATTAAACCCAACTCACTTGATGATTTGAGATTCAAAACCTTCTCCATGCCAGCAGAAAACTTTGACAGACAAAGTGAAATAGTCTCAGCAGCATGCTTGTACAACAGCCACATGGTGACCCTGAAGTTGTGACGGTCCACACAGATCGTTTGTTTCCACCCTTTATTCAACTCAGTGCTTCTTATCCACAATCAGTTTGCGAGCGAGAAAAATATGGCATGAAACTTTTCAGCACTGAGATGAAATAAGAAAGTCACACCGACACAATCCAGCACACACACACACACACACACACTCCCAGGGAGCATGCCTGTTACCGAGATCTGTGTTTGTAGACCACATGACCGTTTGGCTTTGTCTTTGACGTCCGAATGGGGGAGGACTTGCTATCGCAAACACAACTGAGACAGCAGGTGGAGAAACATCACAAAAACACAAATGGATCCACAAAGTGTTTGGAGGAAACAGTGAGGGAGGGGTTGAAGGTGTTTGTTTAAAGGAAGGCAGAAAAAAATAGTGAAATTACTCAAACAGGAAAATAAATCATACACACGACAGAATCATTGAGAAAAGACACACTGACAAAACCGCTGAGCACCCAGCTGGAGTGCTGGGAAAAATCTAAGCAAATCTTGAAGGGTGACATCACTGCACCACGTGTGGACCAGTTTGCTTCCAAAGTGAACCCTTCTTTCAGGGTGTTGAACTGTTTTCATACAGCTGTGTGTGTAAAACTCACTCTGTGGTGGAGGGCGAGGAGCGCAGCGTCGCAACGCTGCCTTGCCTGTTGTCATGCTGCAGTTTGGGCGAGGAGGGCAGAGAGTCCGTCATCTCCTCCGTCTCATCGTGGGACGACTGCGACTTGGTTTTCTTCTTGCTGAACGCCTGCTTAAAGGAGCTGCGTAACTGCAACACACACAAGACAAACATCATTTCTTCCCATCAGTCCCACTGACGTCACGGCTCGCCAACATCAGGAAGTCACTCCGGGCTGATTCCAAGCAATGGCTCAGTCTGTTTTAGGTAAAGAAGCAAAAGGCAAGGCCATAAGTATGAGATGGGAGTGAGAGAGGAAGGGGACAGAGTTTTAATCTTGAATGAACTTATTGAAGATGAACAGGCAATTAAAGTAAACACGGAGGGGAAGAACAGTTGAGGGATCCATGCCGACGTTCCATGAGAAAAGAGCGAGGTAAAGGGCAGGACAAAGGAAGTGGTGACGGCAGATAACCACTGAACATACTGTGGAAAGCACTGACCTGAGCCGGGATGGAATCAGCCACCTGAAGACGCAGAACACACCCAACGTTAAGTGACACAAACACACACTCATGCCCACACACATCTACTGCAAATTTGTTCAAATTTATACAAATAATTAGCACATTATCAAATGTGAGGTCACAGGACATGGACCGTAAAGGAACGGGCAGATGTCTTTAGGCTAGTGGATAATCAAACAAGTCTGGTTTAGATCAGTTTTGTCCCCGGTCATGGAGCCAAGAGAGGGAGTTGGAAATACCCTCTGTCCGAGCGTGATAACTTGAAAAGTTAAGTGAGGTACCATCTTCCACTTTGTTGTGTGGCTGCCTCTAGACGTAAGAAGTTCCTTTTGAAAACTAGGTTACCACATCAAAACCCACTTGAATATCTTGCTCTAAAACATTCATGTATACTTGAATGTTTAAGTTCAATACCAATCCAGAAAAACACTCATCGTAAAAACTACAAACATTCACTATTTAAATGCTTTTCCAATGAAGGACATCGTTGTGCGGCTTGTTCAGGCTCATAAAACAGCTCTTTCTCAAAAATGCCGTATTAGTGTGACAAACATTAACTAATATTAAACCATCTACACAGTCTATTAATGGACTTGGAGCTTAGTATGCTAAGATGACCTGCTGCTAAATCTATGTTCTAATGGTCTGAAGCAGGCTCTGGAGGGGCGATCGATTTCCATCTCAGGTTTATTTTACCCACACATGTAAAGTACAAGATCACTACAGCACTGGACCATCCTGAGATGCCACGAGGTCCCAGGAAATGGTGCCAAATTCAGGTCAACACACATTTTCTTCAGAACTGGCCACACCTCCATGAAATGGTTGTCACCAACAACCTATGGGAAGTCCCTATACAGTAGTCCCTCACCTATCACGGGGGTTACGTTCTAGACACTCCTGCGGTAGGTGAAAATCCGGCAAGTAGGGATGTTATATTTATTTTAATATTTATATATATATATATATATATACTTTAAGGCTTTATAAACCCTTCCCACACTCTTGCAATGTTCTAAACAATGTTCTAAACTCTCTAAACGTTCTAAAATAGTACAGGGAAGGAGAGCAGACAGACTGATGCTATGGTTACTGAGCCAATCAGTGCCCGGGGGCATACTGGCCATTGGGAGCATCGGAACATTTCTCAGTTTGGAAAATGGCTTGGTTCAGATTAAGGATCATTTGGGTCGCACTTGATTACTTTAAATGAACAATCCATGCCGCTCACTCTGGTATCCGTCTCACTGAAGCTCCCACAGCAGCCATGGGGAAATACAGACCCCACCCCTGCCCCCTCCTTTCTCTTTCTGAGGCTGTCTGTCACAGGTTGCGCACCCATCTGTTTTGTTTTTCTGCTCTGCTGTGACAGATACCCTCAGAAAGAAATAGGAGGGGGCCCCTCGGTGATCACTGGGTGGGCCAGGCCACCAGGAAGCAATGCGTAAAATCTTACTTTGAAAACCCATGAAAGAGTGAGTTTGCGAAAGTCGAACCGAGAAGTATCGAGGGACTACTGTACTCCATCATGTGACCAGCTCTCAGCCAAAGATCCTCAATTCTAATATGTTTCAAAACACTGGTGCACATGCATACAATATTGTGGATATACGTGCTGGTGTACGTTTGTTGGGAAATAATGTGTTGTATTGTCATCATTGTATGCTCCCATACAATGGTGAAATTGGCTCTCTGCATTTAACCCATCCACCAGCAGGTGGAGCAGTGGGCAGCTATGGAAAGCGCCCGGGGAAGCAACTGGGGATAAGGTGTCTTGCTCAGAGACACCACAAGATGTGCAACGACCGGGGATCAAACCCAGGACCTTCGGGTCCCAAGTCGGCTGCCCTGCCCCTACACCATCTCGGCCCCCATATGTAGGCATGTAACAAAAAAAATCCTTCCTACTGGAAACAGAAACCGGCAACAAAAGATCCGCCTTCACTTAACACATGAAATTATATGATGCTATAAAAACTTTAATACAAATAATCACACATTTCGGTAAAATAATATATAGACTGATAAAAAAATATACCTCACTACTACCATCATTAAATACAAAGTTCTGGAAATGTGCAAGTTATTTGTTCAAATTAGGAAATTGTGAAAAAAATGTGAATATACCACCTGCAAATTTGTAGAATTAAACACATAAAAATATTTCTAGAAAGAGAAGTTGAAAGATTATGTGTGTTTTCAACAGGATTAGGCTTTTTAGCTTCCTAACTCATGATCCAGTTCTTTTCTCACCACCTTGCTACAGTCAGACCCCTCTATTTATTTTACCTAACCTCGGCTGAACTCTGCCCCGCACCCACAATGCACTGAGGCAGAAATTACGCAAATAGTTCACCGATGCTCGAGCAAGAAGCTGGAGGGCACTCATAAGGCTGTCTCAAAGTTTTCTGATCTCGTTTAAGACAGGCGTTCTCCTCCGAGGTGACTCAAAAACAAGCATCTCAAAAGTTAAGTTTGGTCCTCTATTTTTCTACCTGGATTATTGAGCGTGCATCAGGATATCAAAAACAAGCAGTTTGCTCTGCGGCCGAGGCAGCGAACACCAAAGCCAGAGAAAAGAGCATGAAAGGCTTTATACAGTAATTGTGTATGATTTTACAGTACAGGCTTTTTTTTTGCCTTCATCTTTAAGGGTTTGTCATCATAAATGTTTGACAATGGAAAAGAAAATTGGAAATGGGCTGCTGCATGACCAAGCCCCAAGTGAGTTCATGAGGGATTAAGAGTCCTTTAAAAAAGTCCTCTGACAGCACTTTTTAAGGAAGATGACTTTCCCTCCTGACAGAAATTCACCAGCACTTATGGAACCTCTGAGCTGGACCTAGTTGGTCCCAGCTCGACGTAAACCACCACCCCGCTTCTTTTCAGTTTAATTTGCTTGTTAAGCGAGCGTGTTTCCCATGGCTCACTCTGCTCGTCCCTCCATCCTCTGATGACATTTAAAAACCCGGCTGAACTAATCCTCACTTTGTAACCTAGCAACGATGGCACAGACTAGGATGAGTGGGATTAAACTTTAAGGATGCTCAATGTACGCTTCAGATAAAAGTACACAAGAAAAGTCTCATCACAACCTTTTCTGACATGTTTTCAGGATATTTAGCTTCAAAAAGCAGATAAAAATCAGATCTACAACTTTTGTTTAGATCACCGCCATACATTTCTTCCTTTTTGACTTGTCTCTTATAACACAGTCCGCTCTTATTCTGTCCACTCACCCAGCTCTTCTTCTTCTTCTTTTTATCCTCAGCATCCTTGCTCAAGCTGCCCATGCTGGAGTGACTGGCTGCGCTGTTGATGCTCGACATGCTTTCTGACGAGTGCTGCCGTCTAATCCGGAGGTCTGAAAGAGACAGACAAAGCCTTCCTCAGCGAGCTGAGCTGATCCGTGAGCAGGAACGTGATTTTTGGGCTCCGTAACGCTCGACGGAGACCGGTTTGTGTAAGCCATCAGCTCTTGAAGAGGTGATTACACAAAGTAAATCTGCCCGAAGCTGATTCTCCACTAATTGAGGGTTTTCCAAAATGGTCTTAAACAGCAGAAACACCTCTTTTTATTTGTTTAAGAGGACAGCGCAGACTTATGGACATGGGATTACCTTGTAAATGTGGCAAATTAACCCATGAGGGCTAATTACCGCCATAGCAAAATATCTCCTGAATCACTAAACAGAGTTTAAATAAAGTTTCAGAAAATAATCTCTGGGTTATTTACAACTGAATAAGTTTTGGAGCTAACCCAACCCAAGATGGCCACCACAAGAAACTCACAAATGTCTGCATCTCGGCCAGTTTTACAGCTGATGAGCTAAAATCCAGTGTGTTAGTAGCTGGGGGTCATCTCCGACTTGTACTCTGAGCACTAACTGATCGTGCAAGATCTGTTTAAAATGCTGCCATTAACTATTGGAAATAACTTTCAGTCTGTTAGCAAAATAATAATAATAATGTGTAATGTGTTGTCATCATTGTATGTTCCCATACAATGGCGAAATTGGCTTTCTGCATTTAACTCATCCACCACCAGGTGGAGCAGTGGGCAGCTATTCAAGGCCCCCGGGGAGCAATTTGGGATAGGGTGTGCTGCTCAGAGACATCACATGATGTGCAATGGCTGGGGATCGAACCTGGGACTTTCGGGTCCTGAGTCAGCTGCCCTGCCTCTACCCTGTCTTGGCCCCCATGATCAGTGGTTAATTTGAGCCGGATCCTGCCGGAACAAGATCCGGGAACTCTCATTTTGACCCGTTCTGTTCCAGCAACTCTTTGTTCTCAGCTCCGCCCCTAAAAGTCCAAAGTCATTGTGCATTTTTATTTTGATTATTTATTAAAAAATACGAGAGAAGACGTTGCCGTTAGTCCGGTGGATCCAGTCTGTGGAGTGGATGTTCCAGCCGCAGCACGCGCGGCGCTCCAGCTACATGCTCCTTCGAGGAGCAGGACAGGAGCCTCTAGGCGGAAGGGTGAGGACGGAGGGAAAGATGGTCACATTTACACACGGAGGTTCTGTGTGGAGTGCTTCTCTCCTCCTCCTCTCCAAATATTGCCCCTACTCAGTGGGGCTGCGCACTGAAAAACACCCCCTCTCCTCCTCTCAGACCCCGGAAGCAGAAACGATAATTTATTCAACAGAATAAATAAATGCCCTGTGGACAGTGCACGTTATGCACAGAAACGTGCACACACAACATCAGCATGTGTCTGAACTCCTGCTACATTTCAGACATAATAAATTTAAAAAAGCTTACTGTAAAAAATAAATTCAAAATACAAAGATAGAAATGTTTGATGTGTTATTCACATTATATGTCACGTTTCAAAACAACGGCGATCAAAATGTCAAAAAGATAGTCTAATTTACTTTAATTTAAAAAATGGATGGATGGATTGATTGATGGATTGTCCTTAGTTGGACAACAGAGAACTGAATCCTTCAGGTGCTTGAAACGGTGCCACAAGACTGGAGCAGGAGTGGAGAAGAGTTCAGCTCAGAACAGTGAAGTGAGGGGAGGGAGGAGGGGGTTTAGGACACCTGACAGAATCAGAACTGCACAGTCACACACAACCTGATGTTCCTCTCCAAAATAGTAATTTTATTAAGTGTTTACAAATGTAGGTACAAAGTAAATGTTTCTATCCTGATGCATGATCAACTGTCCCCCTCTTACAATGCTGTGATTGCTGGTATCACTCAGCCCTCTGTGAACAGTAAACAGCCATCAGTGTGCTAATGATCCATTGTTAGGCTGATGGTCCTCCTTGAGCATGTGAGCAGCTGGTTTTGGTTGTCAGCAGCAAACTGGTTGATCCACTCTGAGAAGGTGCTATTTAAGAGACTGAGCTGAATACAGCACCTCAGACTGAAGAAGTCTTTCGAATGAAAGACGAACCGTTTCTACATTTTTTTGTTGTTTCGCTTTGTTTTGTTTTATGAATGTCCAGAGGACCAGATTTAACTTTTTTAGGTAGGTAAATGTTGATGTATTACTCGTTAAAATACACCAAATGCAGGAAATGGCATCTCTGTTATTCAAAATTTTATGTGAGAGGACACACATACAGTATATTGTATGAAGTTGTGCATAAATTTATTCTTAAGGCTTCACTAAAAGGCCTATAAATCCACAATTTACCAGCATAATATAACTTTAGTCTAGAAATTTGGCATGGAATGCCCACCATAACATACCGTCCTTTAAGGGATGTTATTTAATTTATATCTGTAGTCTGAAGCCTGAGCCTGAAGGCATGTTTAAGTTAAGGTTTGGTCTTTTCAACACAGATATGTTGTTTTCTGTTTCATAGTGATGATTATATCCAGAGAATATATTTTTCTTAAAAAAAATAAAAAAATAAAAATAATAATTATATATATATATATATATATATATATATATATAAGCAGTCAGAGTATAGAAATAAACTATGGTGAAAAGCATTTAATTATAAGGAATATGCTCCAAAACACCCTGCTTGTTTCATTACCTTTGTGAAGGTGATCCGGGCCGTTGAGTGCCACCTGGATGGCTGTTTGGGCATCTGTGTTTTGTGTTTTCAGTGCCTCTATTGTTTCTCTCAACTCAGCCAACTCTGACTCCTGGAATGAGGAAACAAAACAAGAACAGGAGGTGCATCCCTTTATACACAAATAATGAGTCGCTGCAGAATTCAGACTGTCCTGGAAACACATTTTTTTTGTAGTTTATGTAAAACAAAATTAGAAAAACTGATGAGCAGACTGTGAATGTTTAAACCAAAGACTTGGAGTCCATACACAAGCTACTTAAGTGTGAACAGATTCATAAACTTGGCACTGACACGATGTTCAGTTGAAGCAAAATCAAGAACAGTGGGGGAGAGGATTTAAAAAAAATGAGAATAGTTATACGTCAGATCTATTCCTCTGTCATCAGCACCACCTGCTCAGAGCTTTACTCTTTGTTGAACTGACTCGAGAAGATAGAGTCTCCAATTCCCCCTCCCTCTAAACCTCACTGAGAGCTGCAGATAAGGTTTCTGCTTTAATTAAAAGTTAGAATGGCCTTGTTTGACAAAGGCCTCCCACCAGTCTGCTCTAACTTATAGAGGATTCAGAAGCTGCCAGATGTTCTCATTCTTCTGCATACGTGTGAGCACATAGGAACACATTCATAATTTGTGATAGGAGGCATCTTTAAAGATATGGGTGATACTGTGTGATCACCCCAGCCGATCTGTTCCCCCCCCCCCCAAGAGAGGAGAAAAAGGCTGAATTTCATGAGACAACACTTGTTTTAGAAGTGTCTTTTGAGGACTCAGGTTCATAGAAGATGCTGTCTCAGTCTCTCTACATTGGCTCTCTGCTTGCATGTTAGGGGGAAAATTTGCAGTTTAAGCAGCTCTTACAGTTTTGGGTAAGGTTCTGGACCATACATTGGTAAAAAAAAAAAACATTTTCAGCATCAAAATATCAAAGATTGAAAGAAAACCTCAATCCCCATTCTCCTGTTTTCCTAAATTGCACTACTTTGGAATCGTACAGCTTGCTGTTTTTAATCACTTCTCCTCTTTGTAATATTGTTTCTGTGAAGTTCCTCCGCTGTATATCTTCAAATTCAGAGCTAAACGTTTGTACCTTTTGTTCAGCTGTCATGGTGAGGCTCTGCAGGCGGCAGGTCATGTTACTCAGACTCTTCTCGAAGGCTGCTACCAGGTGAGCCTGTAGACACACGGAGACACAAAAACTGAGTTATAAATCTTGTCTGTGTAGAGTTTGGCAGAGGAGATGGATGGTTTAAGCTTTGAATCTAATCTTCAATCAGTTTTGCATTATAATGTACGTGACCACAGCATCTCTGATGTGGACTAGATTAATGACCCTCAGGAGGGAGAGGAGGGAGAGTGATTTCCATGTGAGTTAAGCTTGCAAAACACAAAGCCCCTCATTACAGTTTAAAAGTTTGTTGGTAAAGATTCAGTCATCCAGGACATGGTAAATAAAAAAAGGGTTAAAACGACAAAAACAGCTGGACTTTATTTTGTAGCTGAAGATGTTTCGCTTCTCATCTGAAGCCCAGTGTTTCCCCTACCATTTTACAAGGAGGGGGGGCCTACCGAACTGTCCTCCCCCACCCCAGTGACAACTGTTGGGACTGACGTAGCGCTAAGCTAGCCACGCGCAATACAGACGCGTTAACTAAAAGCTATGACTATGGAGGTAGCGCTATCCCTCACACTGAGCTTCCCCCCCACCCCCACTCAAAAGCTGTTGGTACAAACAGTGCACAACACAGATGTGCCTCCATCCCCCCCACCCCACAACAACAATCCCAGAAGATATGAGCACCCTACCAAAGCAAGGAAACTAGGGGAAACACTGTGAAGCCCACTGAGAAAGCTCCTCGGATGAGAATTGAAATGTCTTCAGCTACAACATAAAGTCCAGTTGTTTTTGTCTTTAACCTTTTTTTCTTGGAGTTTAAAAGTTTGGAACGCTGCATCTGTTAGTTTGATTATATGGTTTAGATGTGTGACTATGTAGAGGTGTAGTAAGAGTGCTGTATGGATGTGAGTTTGAGTAAATAAGAGCACATATTGTGTTGTAAAGTGCTTTGAGTAGCCTGGCTGTCTAGAAGGAGACTATTGGGGGTGGCTGTGGGTGAGTGGTTAGAGCAGTTGTCCTCCAGTGGGAGAGTTGGAGGTTCGATTCCACCAGCAGTTAGAGTTGCATTTGGGCTTAAAAAAATCCAACCCGGTCCTGCCTGAACCTGTATCATATTTTCCAAGCTCGACCTGAAACTAACGGATTAATTTTAATTACAGACACCCCCCCCCACCCAAAAAATCTTTTTTTAATTAAGTTTTTACTGCTTTTGTAAGCAGATCAGTTTGACGTGATATTTTAAAAATGTATTTCAAAGAAAGGAAGATATAAGATTTCTTGTTTCACCACATTGATATTAACATACAAAACAAATAGCCTAAAAAAATCAGCTGTAAAGATAGACTGTTATACAGATGAACAAAAATTATTTGGAAAAATATAGAACAAGGCTATTTAATTGAATGCGCTGTTTGCTTTGGCTTTTGTAGATGCTGCAACTTCCTTTAATGCCGATTACAGCAGGTCCAGAGACGCGCGAGGCCGGTGATCAGCTGATCCATCTGAGCTTAACTGGACTTTTTTTTTACCTCTTTCAACCGGCCGGTTGGACCTGCCTCCTCCTCAAGTAGATACAATTTTATATTGTGCATTCTTATTTAGTTTTCTTTGTGCTGTATGATTCATAACTGTACCATAAAAACCCAAGCCCACATGCGCAATTATTGCGCAATTATTGCGCAATTATTGCGCAATTATTGCGCAATGCGCCAGCGCTACTCTCTCTTCACAATCTGATTAAGTGTAGCACTTTTCTTCCTTTACTCTTCCCCTTAACATATAAACTTACTAAATCCTCCTCAATAAGTAGATTAACACAATTTTATATTGTACATTCTTATTTAGTTTTCTTTGTGCAGTATGATTTGTAAAACTGTAACAAAGCCTGAGACCGGCCAGGCCCACGCATTAAGCACATTATTATGGCTCGGCCTGGCATGAATTCGGGTCAGTCTGGGCCAAGCTTCTGGCTCGGCTTAGAAACGACAGCTCTACCAGCAGTTACATGTTGAAGTGTCCCTGAGCAAGACACTGAAACCCTCATTTACTCTGATGTGTGTCCCATCGGTGTATGAATGTGATAAAGCTCTGATTCTCAGCCACAACTTGGGGCGGCTGTGGCTGAGTGGTTAGAGCAGTCGTCCTCCAATGCGAGAGTTGGGGGTTCGAATCCACCAGCAGTCACATGCCGAAGTGTCCCTGGGCAAGACATTGAACCCCTCATAGCCTCTGATATGTGTTCCATCAGTGTATGAATGTGATCTAAAAGCACTGATTAGTCTCATTAGAATGATTTGTTCAATTATCTTTGTAGAGATCTAGTAGAGTGCTGTATGGATGGGTAAATGAGGACACAGAGGACACAGATTTGGTTGTAAAGGGCTTTGATTAGCTTGACAAGATAGAAAGGTGCTATAGAAGTACAGTCCATTTGGTCTTGTGCAAACTATGTTTTGAGAAAGTTCCTCAAATGAGAAGTGAATTATCTTCAGAAAAAAAGTCTAGTTGACAAGTTGGGTGTAAAAACTATATTTTCCCATCAGCATGAATGCTCTACTGGACTCCAAACAATCCTTGTAAAAAATTAAAGAAATGTTGTTGGGATGTCTATCTTTAAAACATCTAACCCCTACCTTTCAGAGGAGCATGCCAACACAAGTTTACCTTTAAACTGTGTGTAATCATCATGGAATTGACGTAAGTGATACATCTTTGTGGATTATTACTAATAAACCAGAGAAGAAGAATAAAGGAGAAGTTGCCACTATTCTTCTTTATCATTGTAGAATCTGTGGAAACACCAGAGAGACGCTGAAGGATGGCAACTGTTAAAGAAGTCACACCATCTGCTCTGCTGAATCTGTCCTTTACGAATGTGTCACTTTGAGCTTGTGCGTTCTTGTCTTTGTCTTGTTTTATATAAATCATATTTAAGAAGGACTCTTTGGTAAAACACACATGTATCGTCTGTACTGGTCTGTTTGTGTGAGTCCATATGTGTGTGTGGTCTTCCTTAGCCAGAGACCATGAGACACCTGTTAGGCCTGGTGTATCACAGAGGGGTGGGCAGCATGCCCAGACAGATCCAACAATCTTTGCTAGATTCAATTATATGCACTGATCTACACACATATGTTTGTAATCATTAATCCTTACTGCACTTGTTAGATTTTCTTAATAAGTGTAGACACAAAGCTGTTAAAACAAAATAACATCTTCATCTTTTTAAGTCCAGATATAAATACACATGCAGAGTTGCACTCCGTGCTGCCACTTCCACTCAGTGTCTCTGGCTGAATCAGTGAAGGTCTCGACCTTTAGAAAGGCCAACTCTTCGAATGCATCCCGTAAACTCCACATCTCCTTCCAACTCTTGCTGAGCTCTGCCTCCTCACCTCGACAGTCCACCTGCTCACCCTGAAGTAGGTGCCAATCAGCCTCTAACGTGTCCCGGAGATGAACTGATTGTCCTGCTCCTCAGACCATGCCTGTTTTTATGACACACATTAGGATCTTAAAGTCTGAGGTAAAGGTTGATAGTGGTACATATTTTACCAAATGAACTTGATAAGACTTTGTCTTTATCCAAGCTGTTTAACATGAAAGTGAAGATGTATGCACCTTATGGGATCGATATGGCTAATGACTGAGTCAAGAATGAGCGCCAGCCACTTCTTCCCTGCAAACACTGACTGTTAAAGAAAAGTAGACATCCATTAAAATACTAGAAAATGGGTTTTAAGTTTGGCCAACAACCTGAACCTACTTAAAGACCAAAAGGCCAAAGAAGTCACTGAGGAACCCATCCATCCATCCATCCATCCATTCATCCAGGAGTGCCTTTGTCATGTTCAGTAATACATCTTGGTTTCCATGGATTAACATATTTGGGGCGGCTGTGGCTGAGTGGTTAGAGCAGTCGTCCTCCAATGCGAGAGTTGGGGGTTCGAATCCACCAGTAGTCACATGTTGAAGTGTCCCTGGGCAAGACACTGAACCCTCATTGCCTCTGATGTGTGTCCCATCAGTGTATGAATGTGATAAAGCACAGAGTAGCTCTTTAGAATGATTTGTTCAATTATCTTTGTAGAGATCTAGTAGAGTGCTGTATGAATGGGTAAATGAGGACGTGTAAAGTGCTTTGAGTATCTTGAAATATGCTAGAAAGGCGTTATATAAGTACAGTCCATTTACCATTTACATGTATGGCAGCACAGAAGTGAGATCAACTCTGCCAGTGTTGGGAAGAGAAACACTGGCGTTACTCAGCATCATGGTGTGAGAAGACACCTCAGGTGGATAATAAAGGTTCAAAGGACCCTGACTCTGCAGTTCTACACCCCCACACCATTGGTATGGGCCAGTAGAGGGCCCAAACTGCCATATCTGTCATCCATGAAAACTGACATTGTAATAATTGCAAAAGACGTGCCTGACGAAGATGAACAGTCACGTTAAAAAGGTTTAACCATCTTTCTGTGTTAGAATTTGGCCAAAAACAATGAGTAACGTCTCTGGCTCATCTCTTACCCACCACAGTCATGGATTGTAGGTGTACAACATGTGAGAGCTGCCAAGGCTGAGATTTACACAGTCACACTCCACACTGGGAGAATAAGACGAGCTTACAGCTGCAGCAGCCCACCATGGTGTCATGTCGATACAGCGTGAAGCAGTGCCAGAGATGTGCTTTTCTTTCAAATCCCATCAGAGTAGGAGCACATACAGGATTCTGGTGTGTTCACACATGGCTTGGAGGGGCATGACAATGCTACATTTCATTGTGCATCAAGTTAGTCAATGTGTTTGTTGTCTGCTCAGTGAGAAGCGGGTAAAGATAATGGATGGATGACTCCACTGAGAATATTAAGTGGATCTATTGCTCCTACCCAGCTGTTGTATAAAGTTATATTTCCTGTTTTTATTGATAGTTTGTCTGTGATTCAGTCTTAGCCCATCTCTCTGATGGAAGTGTCCCATTGAAGCAGAGACCCTGTCTGCTTCTGCAGCTCATCAGACACTTGGCTTGGAAAGACGAGAGCACATTCAGACACCAGAGTCTTTTGATGCAGCCGCATCTCAGCAGAAAGACAGCTGAGGAGATTGGAGGTCTCTGAATGTCCCTCTATTTCACCCACACATTACAGTCGACGTGCACTCATCCTCATCCCTGCTCTCTTTTCTCACTCTATCTTCATTTGAGTTTCTTGGCTTGGACGGATTTACGACTGAATTATATTCGCACTAAACCCAACCAGCTCAGATAAAAGCACAGAGACAATCCACACATAAAAAAGCAAAGTTTTCCATTCCTTCCCGAGTAGAGACAGCAGGTTATTGTGGAAATGAGCAAGCTGTAACAGCCTTTACAAGAAAACAAACTCACATTGGCAGCCAGCTGAGATGTGAGGGTCGCCACCTTCTCCTGAGAGGCATCCAGCTCCCGACGAAGCTTTCTGATTTGCTGGCGAGGAAGGAAACAACAGAGGGAAATAACTATCATGTTGAAAGGTACTAAACTTGTAACTCAGATGGTGATGACTTAAAAACACTGTAGGTACACGGTAAGTTTTGTTACAAAAGAAAAAAAGACATTGGGTTAAAGTATAAAAACAAAGTGTGGGGGATTACCGTAGAATTTTGGACAGTTTGGCCCTTGATTGAAAAGAAAAGAGTCAAAATTAACACTATGTTGCATGCTTCCATCAAACAGGATGAACTGATGTGACTGGAGAGACAGAAGTCCATCAAAGATGGCTGGACTAGGAGCAGCAAAGCATGCTATCGGTAAGTATTTCAGTCCTGGCTCAATAGTATTTGCAAATACCTGAGGTGGTTTCGTTCAGTAAAGTGCCAGATGTGGTGATCAGACACAAACACGTATAGTTTTCATTTTACATAATTTAAAGATTTGCCACAAAGTGCAATCAAAAGATGTTTTTTTAACATAATTTGTGCCCAAATATTTACAGATATACACGTGGAACTGGATTCTAACACACTTCCATGACAGTCTTTACATAAAAAGATGGTGATTATAATGGAAGACTAATCAAATGCCTTTTTAATAATTTTAATGATTCATTTATTTAAACTCTAAATGCATCTGAAGCATCATTTAGTCATAATCATTTAGTCATAAAAGATTATGTCCTTTTCATTAAATAAATTAAATATAACATATGAATCCCTTTGTTTACACTTTGATACAAAACTCCACCCATCTGGCAGCGTATTTGCTGTTACTGTTTGACCCAAACTTGACCTTAAAGCACATAGACTTAAGGCGCAGAGACACAAAAAGAGACATTACGGAAGAAAGCAAAAGCTCAGACAAACTTAGAAATCGAACATAACTCAAGAACAAACTGAACAGCGTTACTGAACTATGCCCAAAACAGAGCCAAAGACTGGGAGGAGCATTACGTGTAGAATGTATGTTTTTAATGGATGAAAAGCAAGACGTGTCTGTTATTTATGAATATTGTGAAATTACTGCATGATTATGAAAAGCAATGCAACATAGAGTTAAACTGTTGTGTTGCCAAACTTGATATAATTTACTCATTCATCTGTTTTGTGTTAAAACAGTTTTTTATGTTGTTCCAAGCCATTAGGGATAATGTGTGTGCTGTGATTCACATACAGAGGCACCATCGACTACAGAAGCTGCGCAACAGAAGCACGTGCAGTTTTAAAAACATTCAAACACAAAAAGCCAGTCAAGATATAACATGCCTGCGACCCGTTGGGCTGAACTTTATAAAAACAACAAAAGCAGATTCAGAAAGCTGAGGTAAGCTAAGATGAGCTAGGCAATGCTCAATTAAGCTAGCATTAGCAAAGCTAAGCTGAGCCAAGTCAAACTAAGATATGTGAAGCTAAGCTAAGCTTTGTTGGGCTAGGCAATGCTAAATTAAGCTAACATTAGCAAAGCTAAGGTAAGCCAAGTCAAACTAAAGCTGTGTCCCAATTCACAGCCGCTGACCTCCGGTTACATGGTCTTCAAAGGTCCCGACCTACGTTGACCGGCTAGGCGGGTTCCTTCGAAGGATGTGGCCGCTGAATTGGGACACAACCTCTGACACGCAAAGCTAAGTAAAGCTAAACAGAGGGGCTAATGGTGTGTTCCATTTGTACTCAGAAGTTTCAAGTAAGAAAAATCAAGTGTAAACCCCTTTAAGTCAAACTTACTGGGAATATTTGAGATTCTTCACCTCAACCTCAAAATCCAGTATGGCTGACTTGCTCATAAAAGGTTTTATTAACAGCAGTAATAAACTTTAAATTTTTGATTTTACTGGTTTGTGTTTCAACCATTCACACACATACAGGTACTTGTGTTCAACTACTGATAGTGAGCAGGTTGTCTCTGCTTCAATCCAATGAATGCAGAAAAATCCAGAGTTAATGAATCGTACGTTTCGCCTGCGCACTACAAATATCAAATCCTACTGGTTTTCCAATTTGCAACTGGAGAATTTATAGGTTGGGTTTGAAGTCAGTCTCAGATCTGATCGTCAACTTTCGAGATAAACTGAACACAGCACAAGTCTCTGTCTTAAGGAGCTAAATGATTTCAACTTGTGTTCATAGTGCACAGCAGAGAAACTATAAAAGGGAACAAATGCAGTGTTCCTCATACTTACCTCAGAATGTGCTTTTTCCTCTGTCTGTAAGAAAGAACAAACTTCATTTAGAAACAATTGGTTACAGGGTTTGAGAGATGAGTGTCAATATGCAATTCATAATAAACTAAAAACAAAAAAAAATATCTTGTATAAAAGAATACAATCTATCGAAACAACTCTGTAGGACCAACAAGAGATAAAACATTGGTAACAAATCTATCTACAGCATCATCACTGGCTTTTGCATCTTTCAACTAATTGTCAGACCGAAGTGATTAACTGGTTTTACTTCCTAAAATTAATCTGCACCTCATTAAATATGAAGACTGAAGAACAGCAAACACCATTAGCGGCCCGATGATACTTGGGTTTTATCTACTCAAGCCACTCTGGGGGCACACAACTGGGATGATTTTACTTTTAATAAAACAGACAGAGTTTTATTTAGGCGGATAGGTGCAGCGTCTGCAGTGAAGCGGGCGCTGTACAGGTCTGTCGTGGTGAAGAGAGAGCTGAGTCAAAAGGCGAAGCTCTCAATTTACTGATCGATCTACGTTCCTACCCTCATCTATGGTCACGAGCTTTGGGTTGTTACCAAAAGAACGAGATCTCGGATGCAATCGGCCGAAATGAGTTTTCTCCGCAGGGTGTCTGGGCTCTCCCTTAGAGATAGGGTGAGAAGCTCAATCATACGGGAGGGACTCAGAGTAGAACCGCTGCTTCTCCACATCGAGAGGAGCCAGTTGAGGTGGCTCGGGCATCTGGTTAGGATGCCTCCTGGACGCCTCCCTGGTGAGGTGATCCGGACACGTCCCACCGGGAGGAGGCCCAGTGGAAGACCCAGGACATGCTGGAGGGACTATGTTTCTCGGCTAGCCTGGGAACGCCTCGGGATTCCCTCGGAGGAGCTGGACCAAGTGGCTGGGGAGAGGGAAGTCTGGGCCTCCCTACTTAGGCTGCTTCCCTGGCGACCCGACCCCGGATAAGCGGAAGAAAATGGATGGATGGAGTTTTATCATCCTGAGTTTTCTGTTGCTAAACCTACAAGGCTGAGCGACTTACCGCTGAGTATAATGACGATGTGCTGGAGACCAGAGACAAAGAAGACCCATGGACTGTGAAAACAAAGACAGAGGGTAAGTAATTAGATTTATCTGTATATAAAATCACGGTATAGTGCCACAAAAACAACTTTTATCAGCCTCACAGAAACCTATTTTGATGATGGTGTCAACATCTACCTTCATCAGTGCTGTCTCTGAAAGACCCAGAGCGGCTGATGGCCCGTGGTCTTTCCTCCAGGGAGGTTGCACTGCCACCCAGTGGGTGACCCTCCCCGTACAGGTCAAAGGAGTCATGGGCAGGAATGCTGTTGGAGCGGCTGATGCTGCTGCTGCCTGGTGGCAGGTTATACTGGCTGATGTTGGTTGGGCTCACTGCGCAGAACAAACCTCTTAATATGTCAAGGCTATTTGCAAGTATTTTTGTTATATAAAAAACATTTTTATTTAGTTACAATTTACATCCTTTATGTGCATGTGAATCACATTGCTGAGTCAGTAATCAGCTCATGCAAGACATTATGGGTTTTGGTATTTGTAATGTTTTCATTATTTCAATTTTTTTTTTGCTATTAAAATGACTAGAACACATAAAATCCTTCAAAACCCTTGTACTTTTGAATATTGGATACTTTAACATCTAGCTAGACTTCTAAAACTTGAATTTTAAACGAGAGAAGTTAAATGTTTGGGCACACCAATGTGCCCAAACACTTTCACTAATGCAGTGTTGTAGTCTACGTGAGACGCTGGTATACAGCGTATACTGTAATGTTCGCTGTATAAGTCACAGTTTTTTTGCATAAATTATCATGTCCACGACTTATACAGCGAAGCGACGTATTTATATTTTTACACCCATATTTATAACCCAATTTTTGACTAAGAGCTGACGATTTCATTCATTCTGACATGGAAAATATTGAGCACTACCATTTTCAGCCACTAGAGGGCCCTCAACTTATATGGCAAGCCAAGTGTCTCATTAATAGGCAAAAGTGGCTATTAATGAAACACTGGGCTTGCCATACAAAGCCATCTTCATCTTGCTCCGGAACTCCTGGAGCAAACGTCAAAATCAGCTGCATTTTGCCATGTTGCCCAGGCGAAATGCAGCTGATTTGACCGTCAAAGTGCATTTTTTAAGGAAAAGTTCAACTGAGACACATTGATACTACAGTTTAATGTTGCGCAAACAAATAATTGTTTTTAAGTGGTTATCTTGTTAAATTTTGACGAAAAGCACAGTGAGTCCTCCCGCTGCGTACTCCCGCTTCCACAAATTGGCTTTTAAAATGCAGCTGATTTGACTGTCAAAGTGCATTTATTAAGGAAAAGTTCAACTGAGACACACCTTTGCTATGATTTTGAGCAAACAAACAATTGTTTTTAAGTTTAATCTTGTTAAATTCTTTCTAAAGTCCTCCTGTGCACGCTCCTATGGCCACCATTTGGCAGCCAATCAATTTTTGACACAACACCGGCCAACATTTCCGGGTTGTCAGTGGTGACACGTAACAAACCTGATGTGTCAGCGGTGACGCATTATAGATGCAACTTCTATGGCAAAGCAAAGTATTTGTTTTTTTTTTTCCACTTTATTAGACATATTTGGACTGATGCGACTTATATGGTGGTGCGATATGTACGGCGGCAAGTACGGTACCCACTAGAAAGTTTTGGAATTTCTGTATAACCACTTAAAAGTGCCCAATGATATGTGACATAGGCACATGTCATTGATATGTTAAACAGCAGTTAAACGCTTCCCTAACAATCTGTTTATATGCAGCGCTTGTTTATTACATTCGCTAATAAGGACCAGCGCAAACTCTTCATTGCTCCCCTCCACTGCTCTGAACAAAGATAAAAAGAATGTAGTTATGTCTTCTGGACTAACATAGGTTGGAGTAGTGATATTTTCCAGCGGTGTTACAGGAAGCTCCTGGTGGTGAGAGTGGGGATTGGCTGCCGGTGTCCTGAAGGCCTCCTGTAGAATGGGATCTGAGCCACTCCTTTCCTTCTTCGTGGGATGTTTGCCGAGAAGATGGCGGGTACCTAAAACCACATAAAGGCATACTTTTAAAAGCTCAGGCGGTAAAGATCCGTTGTAAAGACCATTTTACTGTTGATACATTCGAGCAGATGGTAAATAAGCATGCAATTATACCACTCAGATGTTCTCATGCAGTCACCTTCCAGCAGTTATTTATACAACGTGCAAGGCTTGCATGGTTAATTTCATGCCTTTTGGAGCTCAGTTCACTATTTATTCATTTGATCAATTATACGATTGAAAAAGTTCCCTAAACCTTTGCAAGCTAATGAAACACACACACACAACTATCCAGCCATTCAGCTCTTCACTCCCCAACTCTCAAGCAACTCTGCAGAAAGCCTCCTTATCACGCACATGACAATCGGCCATATTTAATCCTCTGAGGAAGATAATTGCGTTTGCACTTGTCCCTTTTCAGCAGCATCCCTCTGCCAATGCCTCCATTACCACGCTTGTCACATCTGACCCTGCTCTCATCATCCGCCCGTGCTTCCTATTCTATTCACCCAGCAAATGGATGTCAAAGAATGTACTCAGCGGTGTGACACTTCAGTGTTTGTCCGTCACCAGAGCAGAAATGAAACAGGCTGTAATATCCAAGATGTTTGACTCAGTCTACTTAGTGCTAACAAAATGCCTGTAAACAAAACCAGCCAAGCTTATTTACTGTATGTGACTGAAGATGGAAGCTCTTAATCTGAGCTTTTCTTGCAGGGAAACTAACAATGTAGAAAAGAGGTGACCAGAGGCATGTGCTGTCTGTGCTGAGCAACACACTTGACAGGAATACAGGTTAGCAGAATCAAAGAAGCCATGCATATCCAATGCACACCAAACCGCTGCATGGTTAGGACCAGCATGCTCAACTGCTCAGTGGCATCATCATAGAACTGGGTGGTGGAGTTGATCCTTGCAAAGAGTGGTACCACTGTAATGATGGTGTTGCATATTTCACTTTTCTTCCAGGTAAATATAAATATCAATTGTTGTCACCAGTTTATATGGCCCCCTTCACACTGATTGATGACTGTGTCACAGTGATCTACATGGCTGTCTTGGCAAGACCTTCAGGTGTATAAAAGGAATTAAGTGGGCTCCATATTCTTCATGATAGCAATGATAGATTACGGAGGGTTTTGAGCATGAACAAAATGTCCATACTAATGTTCTGGAGGTTTATCATTGTGGTGGCAGCATGTTAGGGTTCTTCATGGGACATTGAGGAAGCAGTGGTACTATATTACCTACATGGTCCCCCCAAACATCTTGCTAGTGAAGCAGAACTGACTGTTCTGACTTGGGGCAGCCGTGGCTGAGTGGTTAGAGCAGTCATCCTCCAATGTGAGAGTTGGGGGTTCGAATCCACCAGCAGTCACATGCTGAAGTGTCCCTGGGCAAGACACTGAAACCCTCACAGCTTCTGATGTGTGTCCCATCAATGTATGAATGTGATAAAGCTCTGATTAGTCTCATTAGAATGATTTGTTCAATTAGCTTTGTAGAGATCTAGTAGAGTGCTGTATGAAAGGGTAAATGAGGACACAGATTGTAGTGTGAAGCGCTTTGAGTATCTTGAAATAAGATAGAAAGGCGCTATATAAGTACAGTCCATTTACCGTTTACTGTTGTGGAAAAAAGGGTCAGGGATAGGTCTTCTGAGGTGTCCTTGTTAGGTGTAACAGAATTGTAAAGTGGAGCGGTTGGTAGGTCTTACTGCCCTTCAGGTGGCACAGCTGTTCATGCAAGCCTAGACTGCTGATGGCCTTATTGTTTTAATAAGCTTTGAAAGCTACTGTCTTACAAACTGAGGACTCACTCACACAGGAATGTATGTAATAGTTTAATGTTTCAAACTTGTGTACACAGATAAACACTGTTTTGGGAGTTTCTAAATGGTATTTTTGTTTTTGGTGCAAGATATTCAAGTGGGTAGGAGTTCCAAAGTCTAAGAAACAACGTAAGTTTTCTTTAATGTATTTTTTATTTATGTATTTGCTTCTCCGATGCAGAATGATGGATCCTGGTGAGTGGAGGGAGCATTTTTTTCCACCACCAGGTGCAATGGCGGAGCCACAAGGTGGACAATGGTGGCTTTGGCCACCTTATAAATCTTTACCCAAAGGGCCACCCCAAATCATTTGAGTAAACTATATTTTTACGCAAAATAAAAAACTAGAAAGCATATAGCGGTACATACATATACACATACCGAAATCTCAAATGAGTGCAGGTTGCATCAGGAAGGGCATCCAATACAAAAACATTTGCCAAATCTTCTCATTTCCTTTCAGTACATCAATTTTGATAGTGAGCTTTCTTATGTCTAGACGCAGCCACACACCAAAATGGTAGTCAGACCTCACTTTTTTCAGGTTGCAATTACCCAACACAAAAAGGGCATTTATGGTGGTAGCCATCTTGGATTTTGACATGACAACCCAGATTTCGAAAGGATTCTTTCTTAACATCTAGTTGTAAGCACATACCAAAATATAAGTTGGTTCCTCCTTTATGTTTTAAGTTATTATGCGTGAACTGAGGGACGGACAGATGGAGGGTATTTCCAATTCACCCCTCTTCACTCCGCAATGAGGTACAACAAGCCCAGTGTCTCATGTCTCTCATCTTTTCTGCCTCAACACTGACCACGCTATCCTCATAACTAAGGCTTCCAACATGATCTTATAAGATTATTAAAACAATGTTTGTCACATATTTAAACCTAAAATAATTTTACAGTATATGTTTCTTGTTACATGTTTGAATTATTTTGTTCCTATTTCACTTGCTACGTTATTTTATAATTGCAGCAACTTTAGGGGATGCCTAGTTGGGAATCACTGAATTGTATGATGCACAAAATGGAAACTAGGCTTGATAATCAAGTGAATGCTTGCATGCGGTTGTGTAACTCATGATCTATGCGAGCAAACAAACAAAAGACAGGTCAAACTGGGATCGTTTTTGCAAACGTGTTGTACCTCAGTCCCTTTTTGGGAAGCGTGTTTCTGTCGAGGGGCATGCTGTTAAAACAGAGGATGAGGCGATTAGATGGACACAGAAAACACCCTTTCTTGTGATTTGCATACACACAAACACAAATCAAAACTTACTACATCTCACAAAATTGACTTTTTACACAAAGACAAACAGAATGAAACTCCGTACACTAACACATAATAAACACAAGAACCGTTTCATTTTTGAGACAAAACAAAAATTCTAAGGTCGACGTGAGCCAATGCTCTGTGACGTTGTGCATGCACAGTGTGTGGACAAAACAATGAACACATCAGTACAGACGTCTCATGGTAACATGTTTGAAATGATCTATTTTGTTTTTTATTTGTGCCGTTCTTTGAAACAAATTTGTGATTGAGTTCAATCTTTAATGTATTTTGCATAACCAAAATGTTGAGAATATAATGTTGAATGTATGTTCATTATTATTATTGTATTATTGTTGAATCTTCCTTTGGTTATAATTTATCTGAATGTAGGAAGGATGAACTTTTTGTCTCAGTTGTCAAATGAAATAATGAATACAATTCTTTCCAATTGTATTCCGTCTTACTCACCCCTCAGACAGGGTGGACTTGACGCTGCCGGTTCGTGTGACCTTGGGCCCATGGTGGGCCAGCGGCACATCGATGGACTCAGAGCTGGTGTGCAGACTGGTCATGCTCTGGCAGCTCAGTGTGTCTTTGCTGCCGGCTGATGAGCTACAGGCAGGCCAGGGCCGAGCGTTGGAGGGCAGGGAGAGGCCAGAGGCCGGGCTGGAAGCCAGGGAGTCAATGCACAGGTCTGGGGTTTTACCGTAGAGCGGGCTGCTGCCCCCGCTCAGACCGCCAGCGCTGCCCAGGCTCCCTGTGCCAGAGGAGGGGGAGTCCAGGCTGGTTTGCCTCGCCAGCGTGCCGTGGGGGCTGCTCAGTATTGACGGGCACTTGCCAGAGTCGGGCGTGCCCGGAGAGCTGGCCTTGCTGCTAGCTTTGGTGCCAAACAATCTGAGGGGGTAGAGAGGTGGGGGCAGTCGTTTAGAAAAGTGACGAGCATCAGCAAGCTCCACACACGAACAAAATGGACCTTTTCCAAATATAAGGGTGAGAAAGAGAATTATATCAAAATGAAAAATACAGTTTTATTTCTACTCAATCACTTCTTTGAAAATCTGAGTCATCTTCAGCTCTTTTCATTTTATAGCTGCATTTTGAGGAAACAAGAGGAAGAATGTGATTTTAGTGGGATAACAGTAATTTGAGTTCATATTTCAACGTTTAGAAAATGTCCCATTATGTTCTGCTACCTGTTGACATAAATTAATTTCTGTAATGTATCTTGGACAAACATTTCAACCAGCCGGTCAAAGCAGATGGCCGCTTGTCCTGAGTCTGGTTCTGCTGGAGGTTGCTTCCTTTTAAAAGGGAGTTTTTCCTTTCCACTGTTGCCACTGTGCTTGCTCAGGATGGAAGACTGCAACAAAGCCAAGATTCAACTTGTCTGCTGGATTCCTTAGATAGAGAACTTTACTAATTGGCTTTTATGTGAATGTTCCTGTAAAGTGCCCTGAGACAACTTTGTTGTGATTTGGTGCTATATAAATAAACTGAACTGAATTAAATTTAGAATTGTACTTCTGAACACCTAACATTGTTCTTGTTGTAGCTAGCTCTTTGAACATCCTCAGTTTGATCCTGAATGGACTGACAAGCTAGCGGCTAGTCTGAGCGAAGCTAAGACCAAAGGGGATTATTACTAGAGCCTGACAGATATATTGGTAGGGCCAATATTTTAAGCCAATATAGATATTTGGGGACATATCACTATTGTTGATAATTGTCCCATTATGTGCCAGTAAGCTCTTCTAATTTTCATTTCTAAAATGCTGGAAAACAGCTGTAATTGTACAATGCATCCAGCAGATGGCCCATGAAGACTAATTTCAAGTCATGGCCGTTCACTTTAAGTTTCACTTTCAGCACAGAGAGCAATATTATGTAACACATTTTGCTGAACAGAACATGATAAGTTTATTGTAACTGATCTGTAAAACAAATCAACAAAAATAAATTATCTTTAATCCTCCAACTCGCTTGTCATTAGCTACGTGCTTCTCAAGTTACCAAGCTAACATTTAGATAACCTAGCATAGGCTTTTTCACACAATACACTACCCCTAGTGATGTATTATACAGTTACCTTTGCACAAATATTGCTACAGAATTTCATATAAATTTTGGTTTAATTAGAAATGGACACATTTACTGAACAGCGTCTGCATGAACTGCAGTACAAATTTTACAAGTAGAGCTGTTACAAGATGGTAGCAATCTATGTTAGTCTAGCTGTGTTCAGACTAGCTGTTAGCTTGTCAGTCCTGTTGGGTGTAAACTTTATTTCTTCAAAGTGCGGTCATTCAAAAAGTTATCTCCAGCTGGCAATTATTTTTTTCTTTCCCACAGGATCTTACTTCAACATTACCAGTATCTCCCTTTATTTTGTAAAATGTTGCATAATTCAAAAAAACCTTTTAGCCTCTTGGTAACCAGACAACAACTGCTGCTTCAACTACAAAGATTGTTCTTCTGTTCTTCCCTTAAGTCTAAATTAAATTATTTTTTCAACATCTTTCATCCACAACTTAGTGGCTTCAGCCAGTGTGAGAACCCTAATCCTAAGCAGAAACCAAGCGAAGGCTAACTTCTGATACGACCACTGGTCATGGTGTATGTTGTTAGGCACACCCTGGAGCGCTACTTTTTTATTTTTATTTTTACTAAGAACAGCCCCTGACATGTATCCTACGACCTGTCTTTGTCTTTACTACACTTCAAACTCACATCAATACAAAAACAGCTCCTACAGCCTCCAAGCATTTTACTGTAACGCTACATTAAAAACAGTTCAAATACTTGCATACGCATTCACCTTTTCCAACTAACTTAGTCTTGTTTCAGCTTGGAACAACACATCTATTATTACAGCTTCGGCTGTTTCAACTAGTCTGCGGGGCGGCTGTGGCTGAGTGGTTAGAGCATTCGTCCTCCAATGCAAGAGTTCGGGGTTCGAATCCACCAGCAGTCACATGCCGAAGTGTCAAAGGGCAAAACACTGAACCCTTCGATGCCTCCAATGTGTGTCCCATTGGTGTATGAATGTGATCTAAAGCACTGATTTGTTCAATTATCTTTGTATAGATCTAGTATAGAGCTGTATGAATGGGTAAATGAGGCACAGATTGTAGTGTAAAGCGCTTTGAGTATCTTTATAAGATAGAAAGGCGCTATATAAGTACAGTCCATTTACCATAGTACTGTTTCTTCAAAAAACCTGCTGTTTGTCCATGTGTAATAGCAAAAATAAAGCAAAAGAAGCTTAGATACGTACAAAACTGTCACCTATCTGTTTAGACTGACAAACAGTCAACATCCAACAAACGTTTCATCTCTTGTGGTTTATCACCTACATTTGGGGAAAATTGGTGCAAATCTATTTTCTAAGAAAATATGAAGGTTTATTGGGTTTTTCATTCTGTGCATCCAGACAAACAGATAGAGAAGAACGTTTAAATGATGTCTGTCGTCTTCTCTGCCTGTGCAGAAACTTTGGAAGAGCTTGCATCAGAGAAAACAGCTGAGAACCACATTCATCACAGAAGCCAGGCTTAAATCCTAAAATTGACCCACTGAAAACATCTGATGAAGAAATTGCATGCTTGTGGTGCTGGAAAAGCCAATGACAAGTGGGGAAGAAAGTGGTGAAATAGCCGATTCACATAAAAACACGTGAAATGAGCGATAAAGACGAAAGAAGAGCAGAGAGTTTGTGTTCTGGGACCGACCTGCGAAATGTAGGAGAGGCGATGTCGGGGTATTTAGAGCCCGGCTGCCTGAGGCCTGACTGGCCTGCTGAACTGGAGGTGGGGCTGGACTTTGGAGAGGTAGACAGTCCTGCAGCCGGGTCTTGATCTGACCCCCCAACTTTCTCTTTGTCCGTCTGGTTGATGGTAATAGGACTAGAGCGCTCAGAGCCCACTTTTCCGTCCCTCCGTTTGGCGCATGGTTGCGTTCCTGCAGCGCCTGCTGACTTGCTGTTGACGTTCGAGTCGATGCTGCTGGAGCTGGAGCGGTGCCCGCTGCGCCCTGCTGCCGCCCCACTGGAAGATTTGGCAGGTCTGGGGAGGGAGCGGTACTGCAGAGTCACCTTGGAGCCACTGCAGCTCAGCAGAACACCGTCGTCCTGAGGCTGCGAGCCGTCCAGGCTGGTCTTCCGCACGCCGCTCATGCCTTTACCGAGTGCAGCTGAAGATTTGGGCACCTTGCCCAGGGTGGCTGAACCACCAGTGAGCGTTGCACCGCTGGTGGTAATTAGAGCACCAGAGGGACCGGGGATCTTCTTGTATCCGAATGAGCCAGTGGTGGGTGGGCGAACCATGCCTGAAGGGGGTTTCTTGCCTTCGTCTCCACTACTTCTCCCAGCATCTGAGGGTGAGCGCTGGATGCCAGCTGACCCTTTGGAAGGTACTTTTCCCTTTTCAGAGGCCTTAGCATCATCAGTTTTACCTGTCAAATTGCATGAACACTCATTAACACAAAGAAGAGGAACATCCTGAGCTTTTGCTATTTTTATTTACAGCGCACCCCTCTTGAAAGACTCAGTCAGTGCTGTGGCTCTTACCAGGTGTTTTGAGTGCTGTGGTGGTCCCCTTGGTCCTGGGTGGTGTAATCCCCACCTGGGCTGTCATGCCCCTCCTCCATGAGCCGGTCTGGGACATCTGGGCCAACGCAGCCGCTTTCTGACCAGTGTCCTCATACTGGGCCTGAGCTTGGGAGGAAGAGGATGATGAGGACGACTTCCAGCGGGAGGGGCTGCTGTTTGGATCCATGCTCGCATCCAGCTCTTCCTCCACTTTCTTCAGGTCTTCAGCTCCCACCCAACTGCTGCTCACTTCCTGTTCAGCATGCTTGGACCTGCTCCCTTTCTGGGACTGTGGAGGATCAGTTATGATGGACATAAAAAAAGCTGATTCATAACCTTTATTGTAGAACACTAAACTTTAAGGAATAGTAATAACAAATGCTGTTGCTTAAACCTTTATGTCACCATCAGTTTTGAATTACATGAGGTTTTAATAAAGATTGATGGTTTTGTACAAGTGGAAAAAGCAACAGCAGTGGGGATATGTAGTACACTGTGAATCTAGACAAAATAACCACGCCTTGTAAAGTCACGGAGGTGTAAAGCAGTGTTTCCCCTACTATTATATAGGGATGCACCGATCCACTTTTTTTACTTCGGATCCGATCCCGATACTTTGATCCGAGTATCACCCGATATCGATCCAGTTCCGATATCATAATCATCATTGATTTTATATGAGGCTGTAATAATCTCCTCTCAAGTACAATTTGTACAAATATATGCATGCATGTCCAAAAAGGCAACTTGAGGTAAGTTTTATTAATGTTGGATAAGTTTTAAAGTTAGAATTAAATGCTGCTAACACAAAACATGTTTCTTTTTATTCCTTGTTTTAAAGTGGATATTAAAGTGATTAATTTAAGTGATTGTTTAGTTTTTTTTATATATTTTTTAAATAAGGGGCAGGTATAATAATTTTTTTCTTCACTCTTTTCATTCAATGTTTTCCTTTTTGATGATTTTTATTTTTATTTTGTTTCATTTAAATGAATGAATAAATGAATTAAATTAAATAAAATGTTAAATGGCTTCAAACATCTGCTAAGTTCATGGCATAAACCAACAGACATGTTCCTGTTTTTAGTATTTTACATCACTTTATAATGTAGCTGTTTTTGTTTTTAATATATATAATTTTCAAATCATATGTTTTTTATGATTGTCTACTGTTGTACTGATAAATATCTCCAGGAGGGTAAACTATATCTTGACTGCAAGTATCAAACTGCAAAATCCTTCGTTTTCTACAACTGATAGTGGTTGGTCATGAATCATGATGAAGTCTTTGTAAACATTTGAGCTCCGTGGTTTCAGCGACGTCTTCTTCTTGTTCATTCCGAAGCAGGCAGCCTGATTTGAGGCAGCCGTGCTCAAGTCTGTCCCTCCTCAGAGACGGGCAGACTGGACGTGGCTGGCCGAGGTCGAGTCGCCTCTTTCGGTTTGACCAAAGAGTAGTGCCCCGCTGAAGCCACGGAGCTCGAATGTTCATCGCAAAACTAATTTTACCGCGGTTTAATGTGGCGCTATGGCTCTGCAGACATTGCACGTTGCTGTCTTGTTTTGTGGTGTTTAGTGTAAAATACTTCCACACAGCGGACATGTTTAGATGAAAAGTTTGTTAGCTGTTAGCAACAGTGCTGCTAACTCAGTCCTCACGTTGTAGCTGGCTGCAAACTATGAACTGGATTTTCTGAAAGTGAGGCGGGTCTTTTTACTCTGGGTTCATGAGACACGCCGCCGTTCAGGAAATCCATTCCATAGTTTGAAGCCAACATGCATCATGGATCGGAAATAATGGCAGGTGGATCGGAAAATCCGATACGTAAATTATGCTGGTATCGGAGGCAGATACCGATACTGGATCGGATCGGCCCCATCCCTACTATTATACAAGGAAGACACCCCGCCCTGCCTACCGAACTGTCCTCTCCCCCCGTCGACAACTGCTGGCATTTACATTGCGCTAAGGAAGCGACGTGTAATACAGACGTGGTAGCTAAAAAGCTAGAGGTAGCGCTCCGTCTCCCTCACGCTGAGCTGTTCCCTTCACCCACCCCCTGCCCATAGACAAAAATCACGGTAGAGATAAGCACCCTGCGAAGGCAAGTAGCCTAGGGGAAACAATGTAATGGTTAAAATGACAGATTTTGTATAAACCACTGATATTCTGGTTATATTGACAAGCTAATACTGGCTAGCTTGACCCATTTTCAAAATGTTGCCATCCTAAATCAGCTTCAGCCTTAGACATTTTACAGCAGCTGATGTTTATACCTTTCATTTACCATGGTCAGTTTAATACTTAATGGTTATTTTGACAGAAATACAAAACTCCAGCCAGATATGATCCACAAAGCCACTGGGTGTGCTACAAGTTGTTGCTGCTGTTGCTATTTGTACTTGTGAACAACCATTAAATTACATGTGAATAAAGACGTATTGTGAAATTATCTGCAGTGTAAAGGCTTATGAAATATTGTTCAAGTTAACGGGTATCAAAATTTAGGGATTAAAGCTTTCATTTAGAATGCTGCAATCCACTTTGGTCTTGACTGTGTTCAGACTAGCCATTAGCTCGTCAAAGCTGTTGGACTTCAACTCTATTTTTTAAAAGGTTGTTGCAAAAGTTATTTAAAACAGATAAGGCACATCAATATAGATGAACGATGCCTTCGGGTTAAACTAACCCAGTTGGCAGAAAGCCCTTCTAAAAGTATGCTGGTCAGATTGGTACTTTTAAAAAACCATTATTGAAACAAAGCAAACACAGTCACCACTAAGCAACGTGACTGCCTGCACAAGCAGCGAGGTGTGTGTTTGTGTGTGAAGTCGTTGCTATCTTTGGACTCTCCTATGTATCAATCTCCACTTTTGGGATGCGTGCAAACACACCCACATGCACATACACACACAACGGGGATAACCAGCCCACCTTGACAGATGGTGAGTCTCCCTAGCAACACAAGAGTCTCTAAAGAGCCCAGTCTGTTGAGGATTTCATGAGGAGCCAAGAATACTTGGCAAAATAAAACCAAGGCCCCAAAGGAGAGCTGATTACCGCTCTTAGTTTGTTTCCTTTGATTTCAGAGCTGACTGCTTTTAGTTGCATGCTAAACTAAGTCTTTCACTCACTATAAAAATCTTTGGGAATATAGCAGAAGGATAATAACAGTGAAGGGTTGTGCGGGCTTACCTGTGCCCCCTTGGCTTTGCGCGATGAGCTTGCCGTGGAGTACGCAGGCGTGTTTAGATCGTCCGTACTGATGTTGTCCAACGTGTCGCTAAAGCCGCTGCTCACCGAGCTGCTGTCGTCCCAGCTACAGGAGACAAGAAGACCACAGCGAATGAAGTGAGCAGTCATGAACAGCAACAATCAACATCGTACATCAAACATAGATCTGTGCTTTAATGTGATTCAAGCTGCATGACATCATCTCTTTACTATAATTGTTTATTTTAAGGAAATGTGCTGTATGTGTGTTTTATAGTTATAATTGTTTCCTTTTTATGTAAATTAGAGATATTGGTTCAGAAATTATTACATTTTCTCACTTATTCTGGATATGTCTTGAAAGTATCTTTATAATAAGGGTGCCCATGAATAGGCAAAGAAACATTTATATTACTGTTTAAGCACAATTCTTCAGTTTTCATCAACATTTTTAGTCGAATATCCTTCAGCAGCTTTATAAAGACTCTCCAAAAACAAACAAAACAAAAAAAAATGCTCGATCAGAAATCAATGTTTATGACTTTTGCAGTTGTTTGCAATATCTATCAACGTTTTACAAAGACTGTCCACCCCCCCCCCCCCACACACACACTATTAGAGGTTTGTGAAAATAGGTAAAATTGATATTTTACAAACTCTTTGTATTTCCACAAGTTTGACCTCTCCTATACAATTCATCCATTAAAATGTAGGTATTCTTGTCTTCTTTCACCCCCTGATGGAGGACAGTTGGTTAAATTGCAAATCTCTGAACAGGTCCTTTCAAAACACATCATGGGCTTGGATTTAGATGCCTTCTGGCTACTTCGGTGTGATTTCTGAATGGACCAAGGCAGAAAGAGAGGTTGAAGCCAACTCACCCCTAACAGAGGCAGTAACAAAATCAAAATGGTCATTATGTGAAAAGGTAAGCCGGTGTTGCAGCTTAATGTGGCGCATGTGATGAAGTCATGGCATAAGATCTTTGTGATCACCCGTTTTGAGATTAAACAACAACAAACAGCTTTAATCACTAAATTGAGTTAACTCATCATGTTTTGAAAAGGATACAAGGGAAACGTCTGTCTCACATTTAATGTGTTGTGCTCTACATCAACCCAGCTGAGTTCTGCTCCATACCCGTTTTGGTTCCACGATGCCCCCTTGGTTTGTGAAAACTCACGTCTGTGCAGGAAGTGACTAGGTTCATTGATGATTTTTGAATGGCCAGAGGCAACATAAAGACAGACTGGTCTGTGCGCCCTGTTATATGAAAGAGCCTAAAGTGCAGAGTACACTAGGCCTGTCGAGATAAACAATCAATCAATTAATCGCATGATAAATGAAAATTATCAACCTCATTTTCATTTAGCGGCTTTATCATTTCTTCATGTCTCTTTCTACTGAAGACACTGGATGACAAAAGGCTCAACTCTGGTGCTCTTCATTGACCCTCCCTTTCTCTTTTCTTTAAAATCTGTTTTAACGATCCAAAATCACGTTTTTGGATCGTTAAAAGCAGCTAAGCTGAGAAGCTAAGCTACAAGCTAAGCTAACCGGCAGACCTTGGGGAAAAAACCTCTGTCTTGTCGAAGCTACAAAATTCACAGTTGAAACCCGTGCCTTCGTGTAAAAAATATTTCTCTGCAAAAAGAAGCTGAGAACTTATTTACTGATTTTTCTTAAGCTTTGTGTGAAAAATGCTAAAGAGCTCAATCCACACCGAGCGGCCGCCATTTTGAGAACCTAAGAGACAGCCCATGTCACGTCAAGTGGCCTCCCTCCCATTTTTCTTAAACAGACGCTGCTCGCTCCCTCACTATCCATCCTTCGGTTCAAGCAGTCTTATACTGCCATCCAGTGGTTGAAAAAGGTACTACATGCAAAACAAATTAACAAACATTTATTCTTAAATTTGTCAATAACTACTAATTATTGTTATTTCAAACATTATCATTTATCACAATAATTTCTGAGACAATTAATCACCCAGCAAAATTTGTTATCGTGACAGGCCTAGAATACACACCCAAACTCTCACTGGCATTCACTGTATCTGAGCTCAACCGTTTCTCTTAAAAACTGGAAGTGAAGGTTGTTTTGTAACAAGTAAAACACTTTATGAATATTAAAACATATGCGTGTGATAGTTGGGGAGTTTTATTTTTTGTCAGTTTGTTTGAGACTTATTTTCTATTCTGCACTTCTGTCTGTCTTGATAAAAGTCCATTCATGTAGTGACGGAAACAGGTAAGCAGCTACTATGGTGAAAATATTGAAGCTTTAATTTTTTTGTTGCACTTCTCCTGTTTTTACAATAAAACATCATCATTTGTCAACTTAAATTGTTAGAAAAGTAAGTCTCAAACTCAAAGGATTTTATAAAGAACAGATGACAGATGTTGGAATTTTGGGCAGTAGCTGAATTGGCACCCTTTAACATTTCTTCAGAAATGTTCTAGTTGTTGATATTATATTTTATTTTTAAGGATTAGGCACAGCCCAGTGAAATAGAATCAAACAAGTAAAGCAAAAGAAAGCAGTTTAATTTTACTATTTTACTATTTTTTTTAAAGTTTTATTCAAACGTCAAACAAATTTTCTGCCACCAAACAAAATAAACACACCTAAATGGGAATATATTGACCCAAATATAGTCAGTGGTGGGCACAGCTAATCAAAAAGTTAGCTTCACTAATCACTAATTAAAAAAACTTAGCTTTACTAACACTAAACCACTAAACAGATTTTAAAAATTAGCGGAAGCTAACGCTAAAGCGCTAACTTTTATCATCCACTGCTGTCGCTGACGCTGCAAGACTGTGATGTTGTCAGTGAACACAACTCAAAACAACAAAGTCCATGCTCAATAATCAAGGTATACAGTCCAACAACTCAAAACGGTTCATAAATACAAGTAAAGCATCCATGTCTCGTTCAGAGGTGAGCTTTCAGTAATTAGTCCGGCCCATCGGAACCAAAGAGGCGGAGCTGAACTGAGCTGTGCTGAAGCAGAATGATGCATTCAATGTGTGTGGCCGTCTCCTCGTGTCATTTACTATAACGGATTAATTCACTTTGGTGATCTTCTTTGTCACGTCACAGAGGCAGTGTGAGCGTTGCAAAGCATGCTGGGTAGGAATTATAGGTTTAATTAAAAATGAATTGAAAGATAATCAACGTGTATGCACTTCTTGCTGTGACGAGCCTGAAAAATTAACTTGTATGTGAAGAAAAACAATGTTTTGAAGCAATTTAAAAGGAAAGATAAATCACTTTGGGAAAATAATTAAAACAACCGAGTCCTGACAAACATTTGTAATTCCGTGGCGATAATAAAACCCGAGAAGAGAGCAAAGACTCATCTCGACGAGGATCTCAAAGGAAAACGAGTTGAAGAGATGTAAGGGGACCAGCCCAGGAGAGATAATGGTGATGATGTTCATTTGTTTGTAGATAAGATGAGTAAAAGTCAGCTTTTAATGAACAATCTTAATGAGAACAAAGAAAACTTTCAAAATGTACAAATCAGGCGTTTCAGCACAAACACAGACACTGATATGAACGAGCGCTCTGGTCACCTGACACCTGGGATGAAGGTAGTGCTGGGAGGACCCGTAAGAACCCAGATATCCACTGGGGCAGAGCCGAACTCATTTAGTTTCTGACAGCAGCATTTATCTTTAAAGCTAAGAGAAAAGAAAGCTTGTGTGGTGCGGCACACAAACAACGGATCTCTGAAGAGTCTTCTAGTTTCTTGTGACATTTCATTTTTTGCAAGTTGTCTTTGGAAAAGCTTCTTTGAGATGAAGGTCTGTTGCAGGGATAATAAGCCCAGCTGTCAGTCCGAGCCGTGCAGAGTACATCTGCAGCTTTTAAATGTTGTTTAATGTGGAGTATTAGGTTTCTGCAGAATAAACCGCAGGTGGTAAAGCACCTGGCAGAGTGTTTTTATAAATAAAGAACAGAAATATGCTTTACCTGCATCCTTTGACTAATTTCCTTTCATCTACACTTGGAGCTACGCGCCTTCATGTGCAGCACAAAATGACAACAGGTGACGGCTGCAGGGTTTTTTACATCACTGTTTTTATTCTGGCTGCGGCGAGGAGTGACAAGTCACCGACGCAGTCTGACTTACAGCTACGGTGCTGCTGTGAGCTGCTTGTTCAGAAACCTACGACAGCTCAGAGCAGAGCGGTGACTCCTCACCCTCGGACACTCGCCCTCTAACGCACAACAGGCGCAGGAGGAGCCAATTTTATTTTCACAAGAGAAACGAGCATTTCCTGTGGCAACGCCGAGAGGCTGCTGAAATGTGCTGGAAAAAATAAAACTGAGCTGAAGCACCACGAAAAAGAAGCTAAAATGAACAAAATAGTAGCTAAAAGCTAAACCAAGCCAAAGCTTTTTTTTTTTTTTGCAAAAAGCACAAAAAAGCTCTAATTTGCAAAACTGTAGCTGAACGTTTCAACTAGCAAAAGCATTTCTAAACAGTAAGATGAGCAAAACAGTGGCTAAAAGCTACACTAACTATATCAAAACTTAAAGATAAATGAGCGAAATGGTAGCTAAAAGTTACACACAGCTAAATTCTAGCTAACAGTTAAATTTAGTAAAACCGTGGATAAGATTTAGCAGAAACAGCTGATAAAAGCTAAAATAAGTAAAACAGTAGCTTAAGAATAAAAATCCACTAAACTGTAGCAAAATCTTAAATTTAGCACAACGGTAGCTAAAGAATTTAAACACCTAAAACTGTTAAATTGGACAGTAAAGCCAAATAAAGCAAAAACATATATACAGCAAAAACTGTCTACATGTAGCTAAAAAGAGCAAAATAGTAGCTAAAAACTAAAATGACCAAACCATAGCTACTTTTTTGGCAAACAATAAAAAAGCTCTAATTTGCAAAATTGTAGCTGAAAGTTTCAACTAGCAAAAGCACATCTAAAAGGTAGGATGAGCAAAACTGTGGCTAAAAGCTACACTAACTAAAACATAACTAAAAGTGAGTGAAATGGTAGCTAAAGGTTATACACAGTTAAAATACAGCTAACAGTTAAATTTAACAGAAACAGCAGATAAAAGCTACAATTAGTAAAA